GAGCGGGCCCCGGCCCCGAGCCGAGGCCTGGCGCGCGCCGGACCCCGGCGAGCCGAGGAGGGTCGGGGGACTCAGCCCAAACCCACGAGCAGCCACGGACATCCCGCGGGCAGGGAGGGAGCGTAGGTAGGCAGAGCACAGGGGACTTGGGGGGCTGTGAAGTTTCCTTCGGGACCGCAGGGGTCGGCGCCCGCCATTGACGGATCCCTAGTCACACAGCCCCAGAGAGCCCCGAGGTAGACTCTGGGCTGTTAGGCCACCGCTCAGGGAGGGGACGCGGTTAGTGAGGGGCTGATAAACTATTTTAGAAATAAACATAATCGGGGTGACATTGTCCAAAAGAGAAATTACACCTTATCTGAATTATACAATTATAATCCCTCTCTACACACCTTAATAAAAATTATACACTTAAAAAAATGCCGGGCACTGGTGGCTCACGCCTGTCATCCTAGCAACTCAGGAGGCTGAGATCTGAGGATCACTGTTCAAAGCCAGCCTGGGCAGGAAAAGTCCGTGAGACTCTAAACTACTCAGAAAACCGGAAGTGGCGCTGTGGCTCAAGTGGCAGAGCACTCGCCTTGAGCTGAAGAGCTGAGGGACAGCACCCAGACCTAGAATTAAGGCCCATTGACCGACCAAAAATCAAAAAAGCATAAGCACAGAATTGAGCCAGGTGTCAGTAACTGTTGAGTTGAAAGAGAATTTACTCCACACCCTACCCTGCATTCTCAGCAGCACTGGGGTTTGAACTCAAAGCTCCCACTTGGTAGGCAGGTGTTCTACTGCTGAACCATGCCTGCCCCTCTTTTTTGCTTTAGTTATATATTCTCAGTAAGAGTTTCCAGCTTTTTCCCCAGGGCAGGCCTTCGACCTCCATTCTGTACTTGGCCTGTACTTAGCCTCTCAAGTAGCTGAGATCCTAGGGGTGTTCACCACCTATCCCGCCATACTCTGTATACTTTTGATACTTGACACTTTTGGTAATAAAACTTAAGTTTTAGTAGACAGGGACATTTTTCTAGAAGCTGTGGGACTTTCCTTGTTCTGGCATAGATCAGATGCTGGGTTAAAGCCCAGATGCCCACGGAAAGGCGGAGTGAGGACAGAAATGGTAACCAAAAAGTGAAGAGGGGTAAAGGACCCAGGGTGGACAAACAGTCCACAGGCTCCCAGGTGCCTAAAGAGTGGTGCGCTCTCGGTGAGCCTGGGCAAAGCTAAGGCCCTAGGTTTGGGTTACAGGAAGAACAAATTGGTTGCAAGAACTTTCTCCCTAAGCCCTCACCAGCACAGGGCTGTCAGGACAGGGTCCAAATCCCTGATCCCTGGAGTGATGGCACGGCAGAGCCTTTGTCTCAAAACCATTACTGCCCCCGTCACCTGTCACTGCGGCTTGTGCTTTGATGGAGCTGATGGGGGAGAGAGTCAGGCAGTTTTGTAAAATAACACACTTGGTGTATTTGAAAACTAATAGGGCTTATGGAGAGTAAGAAAGGATGAATTGGGGTGGGAAGGGTTTGCTTGTTTGGTTAGCGGGTAGACTTTGAATGTGGGTCTTAGCTTGATTGATGATTTATGGGTATGAGCCACCTCCTTCAGCTGTTAGTTTTTTGTGGCAGGGTCTCCCTCTATAGTCCAGGTTGGCCTGGAACTCATAATCTTCCTTCCTCTAACTTCTAAATACTAGAATGCAGAGGCAGGAAGATGGTATTATGGGTGTACACCACCACATTCAGTGGGATTCAACTTCTGTGTCTGGGGAAGACCTCTCTCCTGCCGTGGTGCTTGGTGGGCACCCACAGGAAGGGAGGGGACGAGTTTGTGGGTACCTGGTGAGGCCCAGGGAGAGGCCCCGCAGGCCCCACCATGACCAGGAAGTCAGAGGACAGGGGCAGGTGAACCACTGGTGTTAGAGGACTTGGCATTTTCACTGAGTGAGGTGGAAGCTGCTGGAAGGTTCTGGCCACAGCAGGATGTGAGCTGATTTTGTTGTTGTTATTTGTTTTTGTCAGTCATGGGGCTTGAACTCTGGGCTTGGGCACTGTCTGTGAGCTCTTCAGCTCAAGGTGAGCACTCTACCACTTGAGCCACAGTTCCACTTCCAGTTCTCTGGTGGTTTATTGGAGATAAGAGTCTCACAGGGGCCGGGCGCTGGTGGCTCACGCCTGTAATCCTAGCTACTCAGGAGGCTGAGATCTGAGGATCGCGGTTCAAAGCCAGCCCGGGCAGGAGAGACCGTGAGACTCCTATCTCCAATAAACCACCAGAAAACCGGAAGTGGCTCTGTAGCTCAAGCGGTGGAGCGCTCGCCTTGAGCTGAAGAGCTGAGGGACAGCGCCCAGGCCCAGAGTTCAAGCCCCACGACTGACAAAAAAAAAAAAAAAAAAGTCTCACAGGGGGCTGGGAAGGTGGCTCAGTGGTAGAGCACTTGCCTTGAATGCATGAGGCCCTGGGTTCGATTCTTCAGCACCACATAAGAAAAAGAAAGAAGCCGGAAGTGGTGCTGTGGCTCAAGTGGTAGAGCGCTAGCCGTGAGCTGAAGAGCTGAGGGACAGAGCCCAGGCCCAGAGTTCAGGCCCCACAACTGGACCCCCCTCACCCTCCCCCAAAAAAAGAGTCTCAAAGCCTTTCCTGCCTGGGCTGGCTTTGAACTGAGATCCTCAGATCTCAGCCTCCTGAGTAGCTAGGATTATAGGTGTGAGCCACCAGAGTCCAGCCCTGACTGATGTTTTAGAAGCCCAAAGCCCCGTGCTGTTCGTTGGGGTCCCCGGTGAGGTTCCTTCTGGTTAGCGCATGCCTGAGCTTTCAGGCGGTGGTGGGTTAGTGCGGCCCCGCGTCTGGCCCGTGCGCCTCACGGTGATGGATGTGTTTTCTTGTCCCTCAGGCCCCCTCTGGTCTGCCACACGAAGGAACAGCTCGCAGAGCGCCCCGTTTCCACCAGGGTAATACCAAATGTGGGTTTGCTGATCCCCCTTCCTCTCGAGAACTTTCTCAACATTGGGCTTCCTATGGTGGGGTCTGGGTTTGAGCTTTTCACTTCAGCTTTTTGGGCCATAGTTTTCTGAGCCCTCCGTAGAGTGGAGGCTGTGGAGGCGCAGGCCGCGGTGCCCAGGCCACGTCACCAACGGGAAGCCTAGCCACTCAGGGTTTCTAGACAGAGAAAGCATATCCCTCGTTCAGATGCCCGGCTTAGAAAAGGTTAATGTAACAGAGTTGGGACGGGTCACAGCCAGGGGTAGGGACAGGCCGGAAGCGCAGGGGGCTGTGGTGCTCTGCTGTGGCCTCGCAGCCACGGGTGCCACCGGGCCGGCCAGTGTCTGCAGCCAGGGACTCCGAGTCACTGGCCCTCACCTGCTCCTGGTGGAGGCCATAGGTACCGATCCAATGGGGCTTGAACGTCCAGCAAAGGAGAATGTTTAAATAGTTCACAGTGCTACGGTGGGGCTGGGAGGCCCCGGTTCCCGTGCAGAGCTACAGAATGAACACAGGCACTGGTGGCTCACACCTGTAATCCTAGCTTCAGGAGGCTGAGATCTGAGGATCACGGTTCAAAGCCAGCCCGGGCAGGAAAGTCCGTGAAACTCTTTATCGCCAATAAACCACTAGAAAACCAGAAATGGCATTGTAGCTCAAGCAATAGAGTGTTCACCTTGAGCTGAAGAACTGAGGGATAACGCCCAAGCCCAGAGTTCAAGCCCCACAACCGACCAAAAAAAAAAAAAAGAATAGACACATGGCTGTGCAGCGCTGGCGCGGGCTGCTGATGGGACCTGGCGTCTCAGCTCTCAAAAGGAGAAGTTAGTGCTGATGTTACCAGGGTCTGTTTTCCTGACATTTCTGCAAAGCTCTCTCTGCTCATGGTCTTCATCTGGCCCTGGACCCCCCAGTCTAGGAGGCTGAACAGGGCAGACTTCTAAAGAACAGCTTCTGAAGCCAGGCACTAGTGGCTCATGCCTGTAATCCTAGCTACTCAGGAGGCTGAGATCTGAGGATTGCGGTATAAGCCAGCCCAGGCAGGAAAGTCCACGAGACACTTATCTCCAATTAACTACCAGAAAACCGGAAGTGGCACTGTGGCTCAATTGATAGAACACTCTCCTTGAGCTGGAGAGCTTAGGAACAGTGCCCAGGCCCAAGTTCAAGCCCCACCACCGACCAAAAAAAAAAAAAAAAAAAGCTTCTGAGCCAAGTGCAGTACCTCACACCTGTAATCCTAGCTGCTCAGGAGGCTGAGATCTGAGGATTGAAGTTGGAAATCAATCAGGGCATAAAAAGTTTGTGAGACTCTCATCTCCAGTTAACCAGCAAAAAAGCTACAAGTAAGCCAGGCGCTGGTGGTTCACGCCTGTAATACTAACTACTCAGGAGGCTGAGATCTGAGGATCATGGTTCAAAGCCAGCCCAGGCAGGAAAGTCCGTGAGACTCTTATCTCCAGTAAACCAATAGAAAACCGGAAGTAGTGCTATGGCTCAAGCGGTAGAGTGCTCACCTTGAGTTGAAGAGCTGAGGGACAGCTCCCAAACCCAGAGTTCAAGCCCCATGACCAAAAAAAAAAAAAAAAGCCACAAGTAGAACAGTATATCTGGTACAGCACCAGCCTTGAGCAAAAAAAGCTTAGGGACAGCGCCCAGGCCCTGAGTTCTAGCCCCAGTACCAGTGCACACGCACACACACACACACACACACACCAAAGAACATCCTGGCCTGCCAAGGTCACTGCCAGGCCTCAGTCCCTGGCCTGTCAAGGTCACTGCCAGGCCTCAGTCCCTGGCCTGTCAAGGTCACTGCCAGGCCTCAGTCCCTGGCCTGTCAAGGTCACTGCCAGGCCTCAGTCCTGGCCTGTCAAGGTCACTGCCAGGCCTCAGTCCCTGGCCTGTCAAGGTCACTGCCAGGCTCAGTCCCTGGCCTGTCAAGGTCACTGCCAGGCCTCAGTCCCTGGCCTGTCAAGGTCACTGCCAGGCCTCAGTCCCTGGCCTGTCAAGGTCACTGCCAGGCCTCAGTCCCTGGCGCTGGTGTCCCAGGGCTCGGCAGGGTAGGAATGCACCATTCAGAGCACAGACTGCACGCAGCCCACGGGGCATGTGGTCACGACAGGCCGCCCTGGTCTCAGGTCTGTGCCTGTCCTGTGGAGCAGGATGCTGGGGACTGGTAAGCTGCTGCTGTAGGGTGCACGCAGTCCTGAGGGGCGTGCAGATCCCGCAGGGTACACCGAGGCCCCAGAGCACCGGTGTTGTGGAACCCCTCAACCTCTCCATAGTTCACACTCCCAGCACCCCTCGGCATCCCTCCCGAGGGCTCTGAGGATACAGGTCCTTCCCCTCCTAACACGTGACCTGGCGGCCTTGCTTGGGGACTCAAAGCTTCCTGTCACGCGTGACGTGGGTGTATGAAATGTGTTACAGGTACGTTCCCAAAACCTCCCTGAGTTCCCCTCCATGGCCGGAAGTTGTCCTGCCAGACCCCGTGGAGGAGACCAGGTACCACACAGGTAAAGACATCCGTCATTCGGTGGTGGTCGTGCCTCAGGGCCGGAGCCCAGGTGTCCCTGTGGGCCTAGTCATAGCCTGGTTTGGTTTCCATGTGAAATGCCCAAGTTTAAGAGGCTCATTCACAGCCAGCCAGCCACCCAGCAGCTGCCTGGGTTCTAGCAGACAACGGGGAGGGCGACCTCTCGTGGTGGATGCCTGGGTCCCCACACCCAAAGCTGGCGCGGGGGCTCACACCTGCAATCCTAGCTACTCAGGAAGCTGAGATCTAAGGATCGCAGTTCAAAGCCAGCCTGGGCAGCAGAGTCCCTGAGACTCATATCTCCAGTTAACCAGCAAGAGGCTGGAAGTAGAGCTGTGGCTCAAGTGGTAAAGTGCCAGCCTTGAGCAAAAAGGGCTCAGGAACAGCACCCAAGCTCTGAGTTCAAGCCCCAGTATCAGCACCTAAAAATATAAGCGACTGAGGCAGGTGTGGTGGGCTCACCTGTGGTCCCCACTCGGCAGGGGCAGGAGCTATGTGGGGACCGGCACAGAACCTGCCAGCTTCGGGGTTACACTGGGTGCCCCTCCAGCAAGACCTCCCCTTTCCTTTCTCGGGCCGCACTCAACCCAGTTTTCCCACAGCTGTAGGAGTGAGCCAGGCTTGCTGACACCCGGCCAGAGGTTCGCAAGAGTGCCTGGGCCCTGGAACTGCACAGGATCACGGGCCACCACGCCAGAACTCTGGGGGGGGGGTACCCAGGCTCAGCACTGCAGGGGCTCAGGCAGGGTCAGTCTGCACATCTACCCAGGGCCCTGTACCTGGCACTCCATGTTGGGTGGAATACCGGCCAGAGCAGCTGCCCCTTCCTGTCCCCCCCCCCCCCAGAGGTGGTGAGGAAAGTGAACGGGATGATCTCCGCGGGCCAGTATGGCCGGCTCTTCGCTGTGGTGCACTTTGCCGGCCACCAGTGGAAGGTGACCTCAGAGGACCTGATTTTAATTGAAAACGAGCTGGACATCCAGTGCGGAGACAGGATTCGCCTGGAGAAGGTGAGACGGGACGGGGTGGGGGGGGAGAAGGTGGGGCTGGCCAACCCATGTGCCCTCCCCACTTGGGTGCAGGACGGAGCCGGCCACCGCTCCCAGCTTGCCCTGGCCCCGTAGACTCACTCTAAGGGGACAAAGGCCTGATGGCTTTGCCCTGCTGTCTGCGTACCATCGTCACCATCCACGCCCCCCGCTCCCTGGCCCAGGAGTGCTGGATCTCAGGGGTGAGGACGTCCAGGGAAGCGTGGGGCGGGGTCTCCTGGCCCCCCATGGAGACGCCCTTCCCGACCTCTGGGTCCAGCTGGCCCCCTGGCTCCCCAGGGCAGCTTCCCAGCCGCCATGGACCTGCAGAGCTGAGCGTGTGCAGCAGCTCTGTCCTGTGAGCCGCTCGCCCTGACCCTCTCTTTACGCAGTCACAGCTCTCTGCAGTGGACTTGTTAGGGTATGCTTAACGTGAGGGAGAGGATTTCCTTTACTCGTTAGAACTCTGCTTTGCGATTGGAGCTTTGTGTATTTGTATCACAGAGCCCATGTCTCTGGTCTAGAGCGGGTCTCAGAACCTAAAACAAGCCGGCAGCTGGCAGAGCTGAGTGCTGTGGACACATTTTTCTTGAGGTGCAGGGCGTGGACCAGAGCCTGGCACGGGCCACCCATGTGCTCTGCCGCCCCTAACCCCATCCGAGCACCCCATCACAGCCTCTCACATGAGCACTGGGGCTGGGGTGGAGCTTGGGACAGAGCACACACTGCATGCTCTGTGTTCGGGTCCATCACCAGCCCCAGGCCCTGGAAACAAAGAAGGTGGACACTCCTTTTACTACCTTAAGGTGCGTCATTTGCCCACTGTTCTATGAAAATGCATGTTGCTCCTTTGCTGGGCATGGGGGCTCATGCCTGTAGTCCCAGCACTCAGGAGGCAGTGGCCGGGGCATGGCAGCTTTGAGGCCCACCTTGCTCTGTGCACACGGGCTGTCTGTGGAGCAGCACTGAACTCCCGCGTCACTTTCTCAGGTTCTGCTGGTCGGGGCACACGACTTCACCCTGCTGGGCAAGCCGCTGCTCAGGTGAGGGCTGCGGGCGAGGGCTGGGTGTGTGGGTGGACATGGTGCGGCAGCCCAGGTGGTGTCCAGGGCCCTGGCGGCCACCCTGACTACAGTGTGTGTCCGTGTGCTCGGGGGGGGGGGGAACTGGTGTCCCACAAGGACCCCCCAGAGGACCCCAGTCACCAGCTCATCCCGCGCAGCACTCAGGATTTTTCAGGGCACCTACAGTGCAGACCTGCAGCTTCAGTGTGGGCTGGCACTCGAGAGCCAGGCTAATCAGGAGGTCATCTGCTCTCCCGTGTCCTTCCTTCCAGTAAGGATCTCGTTCAGGTGGAAGCCACAGTCATCGAGAAGACAGAATCATGGCCAAAAGTCAACATGAAATTTAGGAAAAGGAAAAACTTCAAGAAGAAGCACAGTAAGTGAGAGCGCTGTGTCGCGGGCGCCCGCGGAGGCTGGCCCTGAGCCGCCCTGAGCCACACAGCTGGCACCGCGGGGCTGTGTCCTGCGGAGGCTGGCCCTGAGCCACTGCCGGCGCTGCGGGGCTGTGTCCCCGCGGAGGCCGCCCCTGGTAACGGTTACCAGGGCTGTGTGGACCAGGTCTCCTGGGGTTGCTCACACTATTGGCCAAGATTAGGGCAGTTCCAGAGTAGCTGTGAACCCTGACCCCACCAGGACTCAGCACGAGACACGTGAGAGCCGTGTTGACGTCTTGGTGGCGCTGGCGGCGTTGCGGGCATTCCCACATTGGCCATGGAGCCAGGACGCAGGGGGGCGCTGGGCAGCGGAGTGCTGTGCGGTTGCCATCTGGAGCCAGAATGGGACGGGGCGGGGCGGGCCTGCGTCTCCGAGCTCACGCCAAGGAGGATCGTATCCTGCGGGGGCCACGGTGGCAGTGCCCTCCTCGGGTTAGCCGGGCAGCCCGCAGGCGATCTGACGGGCATTACATTAAGTCCTTTAAATGGGCTGCGGTGCAGCGGCCTGCCAAGGCCATGCCAAGGGCCGAGGCCAGGGCTGGCAGGGTTGAAGATGGTGGAGGGGCCACAGCTAGAGTGTTGGCCTGGAGAGCGCGTTGGGAGCCGGGTGGGCCCGGCAGGGTGAGATGGCGGGAGCCGAGGTCTCGCAGGCATCACGCAGGCGTTGGGGGCACAGCCGGGACAGGACAGAGTTCAGCCATGGGGAGGCGCCAGCGTCTCCTGGCTAGAGGGTGTGGGGTCACTGCAGGGGGCGCAGGCATGACAGGCTGTGAGAGAGGACCCAGAGGGGAACAGGTGGGTTGGCAATCTCCCGGGGGGCCGGGGTCGGGGCACACCAGGCCTGTGGTGTGGCGTGTGTGTGTCAGCCGGAGGTGGCTGGGCGGCCCGTGCCAGCTTCCTGCCTGGGGGGAGGCCGCGCTGCCTCCCAGTGGCAGATCAGCCAGGGAAGCCAGTGGGTGCCAGCGGCGGCTGCCTTTCCCCTCCAGTCCTGGAGGGGGCGCACACGGCTCATGTCTAGTAGGTGGGCTGCGGAGGCCTGTCCTGCCAGCCCTGGGGCCCTGGCAGCCCCGCTGGCCACACCGGGGCTTGCCTGCCTCCAGGCAGGAGCACCATGGCCACGGGGCAGCTGGGTGCTGGGCCTCCCCGGCCTGCGGCTAGCCCTCGATGGGCGGGACCCAGCTACCCATGACCTTGCTCTCTCCCCCAGTTAACGTGAACCCACAGACCATCCTCCGCATTAACAGCATCGAGATCGCCCCGCGCCTGCTGTGACCGCCCCGCTGACGTTTATGAGCGTGAAGGTAGGAGGCTGAGGTCTGAGGACAGCAGTGTGGAGGCCGCCCGGGCAGGAAGGCCCACGAGACTCATCTCCAAGGAACCGCCAAAAACCCAGGCATGAGGCTGTGGCCCCAGTGGTAGAGCACTAGCCTAGAGCACCAAGGCTCAGGGACAGCGCCCCCGCCGCGCTCAAGCCCAGGACCCGCACACAAAAAAATGAAAAAAGTGAAAATAAACGTGTCCTTGGAGAAGGCGGAGCCTGCGGTGGGGTATGAATCCCGCACTGAGGACATTTTCCACCCTCAGCCCCCCACCCCGGTGGCAGAGTCCAGGGGAGCAGCTTGGGTTTCACAGCTGGCCCTGGGAGCAGACACCCCTGGGGTGAACTCTAGCCTAGTCTGAATGCACCTGCTCCTGCTCTGTCCCTGCCCCGCCCTCCACCCTGGGGGCCTCTGCGGTCAGGGGCGAGACTAGGCTGCTCGCAAGGCCAGGCTGCAGCAGGGAGGACACAGGGAGGACTCAGTGTCCACCCCAAGGGACGCAGAAACACGTCCTCCTGCTGCCCAGCAGTCCATGCCCTCTCCAGAGGCGGAGATGGGCACTCGAAGCCAGTGCCCTGCAGGACGCCCCTGCAGCACCTGCATGACGAGGCCGGGCCGCGGGCTCGGGGCGGTGCACAGATCGGGCAGGAGCCTGGCGTGTGGGGTGCTCCTGCGCTCCACCACTGGTTGAGATGGGGTCTCATGAACGTCTGTCTTACAGGCATGAGCTGCTATACCTGGCCCACTCATTTGTTTGGGGTTGTTTGGGGTTGAGTGGTAGAGATAGAACTGCCACCTCTGCCACAAGTCCACGGGCACAAAGCTGTGACGATGTCTGTGGCCATCTACTGGGGAGTCTGTCTCCGGATCTGAGGGGCCGCCACCCCCCTCCCCACCTCCACCCCTCGTGCCCAGGGCTGCGCTCCGGGCTCCTCCACTAGCCCATGTCTGGGGCTGCAGCCCGTGGCTCCCCACTTCCACCCGTGCATGGCTGCCAAACCGAGCGTGGCCCTGCCTCTCCCTGCACGGCGCCCCGGCCCTGCCTCTCCCTGCACGGCGCCCCGGCCCTGCCTCTCCCTGCACGGCGCCCCGGCCCTGCCTCTCCCTGCACGGGCGCCCCGGCCCTGCCTCTCGCTGCACAGCACCCCCGCCCTGCCTCTCCCTGCACGGCACCCCGGCCCTGCCTCTCCCTGCACACTCCCTGGCCCTGCCTCTCCCTGCGCGGCGCCCCAGCCCTGCCTCTCCCTGCACGGGCGCCCCGGCCCTGCCTCTCCCTGCACGACGCCCCCGCCCTGCCTCTCCCTGCACGGCGCCCTGGCTGCTCCACTCAGCCTCTGCTGAAGCCCCTGCACCCCTAAACCCCCCAGCACAGAGAGGCACGCTGGACAGGAGCACCGTCCTCTGAGGGCCAGCCGGCACCAGGCCCTTGGGCTCCCGGGGCCATGCAGGATGGTCCGCGCGCTCCCAGACCCTTTTGGGGAGAGCCCCGCACGCCTTCCCAGGCCGCCGGGCACTGGGCTAAGCCGCGGCCCCGGCCCCTGGCCCCGTGCCAGCAGCGCCTCGTGACTGCACAGCCTCAGGCTGCGGGTCAGGTGGCCGCCACCTGCCCCCGTCACCTGCTTTTCTGTGTCCTGGAGCACAGGCCCCGGCAGGGGGTGGGGGGGCGCCTGGTGCTCGTCCTCAGTGTGGCTCGGTGCTCTGTCTTACTGGGGTGAGAGGTGGGTGCCCAGTGCCGGGTGGCACCCGTGGTTCCTGTGTGTGTGGACGCATGCCCCTGGGACCCTCTCCCTGTGAGCAGACAGCACCAGTACACTTTGTTTCTTTTTGGTGGTACCAGGACTTGAACCCAGGGCCTCACCCTTGCTAGGCAAGTGCTCTGGCATTTGAGCTATGCTTGCAGCCCTCGGGTGTGGGTAGGTTTTAAGAGGGCTTCAGGCCTGGGCCGGACGAGGCTGTGAGCCTCTGCTCGCGCAGACGGCAGGCAGGCACCACTGCACTCCACCACTGGTTGAACTTCTACGTCCTGGTGTGAGCTACTGCACCAGGCCCGCTTGTGTCTTTGGGGTTGTCTGGGGTCTTCGTGCTGGGGATACAGCTGCGCACCCCTGCCACAAGTCCACTGAGATGCCCGCCAGGCTGTGCTCAGCACTGACCCAGTGGACAGCTCCCTCCACTGGGACCCTGTGAGGGGCCTGAGCAGCTCTGTGGCCGCACAGCCCGGCTGAGGCTGGGGTCCCCGGGCGAGGAGGGGTGTCAAGCAAGGCTGGCAGCACCGAGGTAGAGGCCGATTCCTGCCAGGCCAGGCCCTGGAAGCTGCTACATAGATTATACAGCTGACAGATGCACTCCGTACTGTCTAAAGGATGGGCCAAGGCAGGAGGCCACAGGACCTTTGCACAGGCTTTTGGAAATGTGAAGTCAGGACAATTGCTACTGTATTTCCGTCCAGCTTGTCACCCCCGGGCCTCAGCCTCGGGGAGTCCCAGACCTGCAGCCGCCCACAGGGATAAGAGAAGGCTGGATGCCCTTTGACCCACACATCTCTTGTCCCATGATGGCTTGGCAGCTGGGGCCCAGCTAGGGGCAGAGCCCAGCGGCCTACCACTCTGCATTGATAAGCCTTGTGGGCTGGGACCCAGAGGCTTGACATTCTGACACCCAGGCCTGCCAGCCAAGAGCATGACAGTCCACAGATGAAGGCGTGCCCCCAGGGTGCGCGCAGCCCCACCCTCAGCGCCCGCACATGGACAAAGGTCACTGCGCCAATGGTTGATTTTTAAAGTTAGATCCCATGTTACAGGAGTTGCCCTTGCACACCAAAGCAGAAACCAAAGCCTGTCATCCCAGCTGCTCAGGAGGCTGAGACCTGAGGACCGAGGTTCAAAGCCAGCCCGGGCAGGAGAGTCCATGAGACTGTTGTCTCCAGTGAACCACCAGAAAACCAGAAGTGGAGCTGTGGCTCAAGATGTAGAGCCATGCCTCCATCAGAAAGTGACATCGCTCCATTTGTTAGGAAATGGAAAGGCTTGGAAAAAAGCATATTAAGTGAAGTAAGCCGAGCCCAAAGAGACAAGTCCATGGTCTCCCTCATCTGCAATAACTCGGATACATGTAGGACAAGCTGAAGAGGTCAGAAGCTATGTACATATGACCAGATACGATGATGCCAAATGAAATGAGTCCCAGGACAGGGACACGAGAGGTTTTATCTTTGTTGCTGTTGTTTTTAACGTACTTATAATGTACTGTGTGATTTTTTTGTTTCTTTTGTATGTTCTTGCCCCATGGTACAACCCCTGTTTGTCACTGGATTTGATTCCAATGCCCTGCATCTTGAAGAGACGTTTTTCTAATTTGGGGAGGGGAAAGGAAATAACAAAAAGCTGAAATAAGGACACGGGATGCCCCATTGTAACCGTGAGACGTACATGACACTGTTGAAAACGAACTTTACAGCTTGCGGGGGGGGGGGGGGGGGGGGGGGGGGGGGGGGGGGGGGGGGGGGGTGGGGAGGTGGGAAGGGTGGGGATGGTAGGGGAAAAACCAAGGAGGGGGTAGCAATGCTCATAGAAATGGACTCATGACCTTGCTCATGTAACAGTAACCCCTCTGGACAGTATCTTTACAATAAAATACATATTAAAAGAAAGAAGAAAAGATCCAAAATGTAAAAACAAGTGGTAGAGCGCTCGGCCGCCTTGCGTGAAGAGCTCAGGACCAGCGCCAGCCCCGGCCGGAGCCCCCGGAAACAGCCTGGCTGGCAAAAACCGGTCAAAGAGGGACAAAGGGGGGAGGGGGAGGGCAAAGCTTTGATTCCTGGACGGCCACGTGGTCACCCTGTGAGGGAACGGCTGCCAAGGTCAGCAGTGGAGGAGAAGGCAGCCAGAGGGAGCCTGTCCCTGGGGAGGACCCAGGGCCGGAGGCTGCGATCTAGAGGATCACGGCTCAAAGCCCACCAAGACAGGAAAGTCCAGGAGACGCCATCTCCAAAACAACCAGGGAAGAGCTGGATGGAGGTGCGGCTCCAGTGCTACAGAGCCGACCAACCCAAAACCACAGAAATGGCTTCACTCATGGGCCTGGGAGCAGCCCCAAGAGGAGACGTAGGCCAGGACAGCAGAAAGAAGTGCATTGATCTCTGAGCACCAAGGAACTGCAAACCCCAGGAACTGCTTCCGTTCAGGGGGCAGAGGAAAGCCTGAGGAGTCGGAACCAAGATGCACTGTGGCTGCGGGTGCGGCCCTGGAAATCCTCAGGGCCCCGGGATTCCCAAGACCTAACTAAAGAAGCCAGGACCCGTGGCTCACGCCTGGAATCCTGGCTACTTGGGAGGCTCACTGCTCAAGGCCAGCCTGGGCAGAAAAGTTCTGGAGACCCCATCTCAGTGAAGAGCTGGATGCAACAGTGCACTTCCGCTCTTCCAGCTACAACAGGTAGCCGAGCATTGGTGGATGGCACCCGGGTGCCTGCCAAGGCCAGAAGTGAGACTCTACCTAAAATTACAGGCAAAAAACCTGGACTGGAGGCGTGACTCAGCGGTAAGAGCGACCACTTAGGAAGCTGGAGGTCCCAGAGTTCCAACCCCACTATATATAATAATAAAACAGAAAAATGCTCAGGGACAGAGCCAAGGCTCCCCCGCCCCATGCAGTGTAAGAGCATACACACAAGCACACACACACAGTGTAAGAGTACACACACGCACTCACACACGCAGTATAAAAGCAGGCTTACCCCCTGCTAACTACCAGACCCTCCAAAGGCTCTGAAGACAGCTGTGGAATTTGTGGGACGGCGGCTTCGATTACGTGTGGATTTCCCGTGCACCGCTCCATGCCCAGGTCCCATGGGCGGCCTTGTGGCCTTCGCCAACCAACTGCCAGGCCTGGCTTCCGTCCCCGCCCGCCCGCTCATAGCGGGGGGGGGGCAGTCCTGAGGCTTGAAGTCAGGCATTGCTTCTCAGCATTTTGCTCATGGTTGGTGCTCTACCACTTGAGCCACAGTTCCATTTCCAGATTTTTACTGGTCAACTGGTGATAAGAGTCTCACCAACTTTCCTGCCTGGGTTGGTTTTGGACTGTGATCCTCAGATCTCAGCCTTC